TCTCTCTCTCTCTCTCTCTCTCTCTCGCAAAACCAGTTCCTCTTTCATCGGACAAAACACACACTCTTTGATGAAAGGACTAAATATTTATATTTCTGTGTTTTATCCGCACTTTTATGAAAAGATTTTCAATTTAAAAGCAAAATATAATAAATGTTTTGAATTACAAAAACTCGTACCAAATAAAAAACACAGCCCTCTCTTCCCATCCCTTTATTTATTAATAACAATCTTATATAAAATGTATATTTGTATTGCAATAATGATAATAAGATACTTAATAGTTATATGTAATGTTGTTTTCATTAAATGGATTTATAAATTGTAATCTTTTTATGTATTTTTTGTTTTGTTTGAGAGAAAAGTTATGGAAAGGTATGCAAAGGTAAGGAAAGGTATGTCAGGTATTAATGCTTACAAGACTTCACCCACTTTTTTGGCCACAGATTTGTAAACATTTATATAATGTTATTATTATTGTGTTTGAAATGCAAAAATGTTTTATTTTACATAAAAATTATTTGTTTGAAAAATAAATTTTCTTTTATTAAATTACAGATTATTTTTCATATCAAACAAAAACAAATTTAAAAATGTTTTTCTTGTATTTGTTTTGCTCGAAATGTACCCAAAAATTAAACGATTATTTTATTTTTAGTATTATTTTAATCTAACGTTATATTCATAGCGTATATAAAAACATGAATTTATATTAATATAGTTTTTTGAGAATAAAATATTGTTTTTATTTTCAATAAAAGTTTAGTTAATATTAAAGCATGAAATGATATGCGAATACATTATACATATAGCAAAAAATTGTTGTCTGAATAAAATAAAGTGTAAATAAAAATATTTTATGGTTTTATAAATGAGATATAAATTAATCACTGAATCTTTGGCCACAAATTCTATGTCAATAACAATAATATCGCTATAAAATAAGTTTTACATTAAATTTATAGTAAAACTTTACAAAAACTTTTTTGAGACCAAATTTCGGGTGGAATTTGATATAAAACACTCAGAAATCGGAGCAAATTTTTCGGATATAATATGTTTAAAGTGTAAAAGTATTGTAAAAATATGTGAATTAATACAAAAACTTTTCATTACATCTCAAGCTGTGATAGAAAGGCGTTGAAAACATCCATACGTTTTCCCTAACAGTCTCTCTCTCTCTCTCTCTCTCTCTCTCTCTCTCTCTTTTCATTCACATCAAAGACATT